GGAAGTGAATGTGAATATGTAAAAACGGGAAATTTTACCAGGTTGAAATGTTCAGTACCGTTATACTTTAGTCAATAATACTTCCATCTTTTTGACAAAGTCAGTAACCCCTGACGTGTAGCAATGTCTGGTTGAAACATTTCCCTTTTAACCCGGTCAGATTTTAGCCGATTTTCTTTTCATTAAAGTCACGTTATTCAATTTAATTTTTTTAAAAACTGCAGAAGTTTGAAATCGGGCCAAATGTTGATCACGAATGATTAAGTTGGACATTACCGGTAGTTGCTTATTTTGAAAGTTTGATCAAAATCGGTTGTTAACGAAACGTTCTCTGCAACATATTAAATGTTAAACGGAAAATTTTGCCCGGTTGAAATGTTTCTTGCTATAACTCAGCGCCTTTTTTGGCGATTTTAATAATTCCTTTTTTGTTTTAAACATTCTTGACAACATCAGTAACATCCGACGTGAAGTGATGCCTTGTTGAAATATTTCTCGTTATAACTCAGTTGTTGGCCAATTTGTTTATTAAAGTGTTACCATTCAATTCATTTTTTAAAAAAAAGTGCAGAACTTTCAGTTCAGGTCAAACGTTGATTGCAAACAATTTTAGCTGTTCAGTGGGAGATTATTTTTCAAGTCTTCTAAAAAAAAATCGGTTGGTAATCAAAGGTACTGTGCAAATTAAACTGTTAAAACAGAAAATTTTGCCCGGTTGAAATGTTTCCTCTGATAACCTAGTTAATAATTCTGTTTTCTTTAAGATTGTTGACAAAATCAATAAAAAAGATAGGTTGCCAGGCAACGAAACATACGCCCACAGCAGCTAAATCGTTCGGGCAGTCAACAAGTGTTGTCGCATATTTTTACTTCTTTCGGTAATGAAACATTTATAATACACTCATGAAGTAATTATCATAAAACCATTAGAATTTGTTTGGTTTTTAATATCATGTATTTAGCTGTTCAAGTCATAAAAATTCATTGAAAATCAATATACTTGTTCGTCTCAAGCTCTTAAACTCTGTGTATCAATCTGAAGTCAATCGGATGATAACTTTAGCCTCTAGAGCATCACAAGATATTTCAAAGTGATCAAGGGCCATAACTGTGACAGTAATTATCGAAAATCACTGAAAATGAATAGACTTCTTTGTCTCATGACCTTAAACACTGTGTATAAATTTAAAGTCAACCGGATATTGACTTTGGCCTCTAGAGTGTCCACAAGATTTTTCAAAGTGATCAAGGGCCATAACTCTGGCAGTAAATATCGAAAATCACTGAAAATGAATAGACTTCATCTTATGACCCTAAACACTGTGATATTAACTTTAGCCTTTAGAGCGTCCACAAGATTTTTTTAAGTGATCAAGGGCCATAACTCTGGCAGTAATTATCGGAAATCGCTGAAAATCAATAGGCTTCTTCGTTGCATGACCTTAAACACTGTGTATAAATTTAAAGTCAATCGGATATTAACGTTGGCCTTTAGAGCGTCCACAAGATTTTTTGAAGTGATCAAGGGCCATAACTCTGGCAGTAATTATCGGAAATAGCTGAAAATCAATAGGCTTCTTCGTTTCATGGCCTTAACCACTGTATATAAATTTAAAGTCAATCGGATATTAACTTTAGCCTCTAGAGCGTCCACAAGCATATGTGGACGCCGGACGGACAGACGGACGGGGGCGACGACAATATACGACCACATTTCAATGTGGGCGTATAAAAACCCAAAAAAACATCTGATATGAAGTGATGCCTGGTTGTTATTACTTAGGCAGTTTTTTGCCGATTTTAATAATCCTTTTTTCTTTTTGAGATTCTTTATATAACCCAAGACATTTTACAGGAAGTGACCGTGAATATGAAAGCATTCATATATCTGCCTGGCAGATCTAGTTCTTCTTCTTATTTTTTTTTTTTTCCAATTTGATTTTATCTTGGAAACTACTTGTCTGAACGATTTGATGTTTTCGGTTTAACTGGGAAAGTGGGTGTGACTTAGAGATTAAAGCTATTTCGGGCGTTCTGTGACAAGCAAAATATATGAAATCACCCAATTTGTCTTTTTTTGAAATATTGCCGTAATATTAACAATAATTATCGGATTTTAACATATGATGCATTTTTACGTAGCAGTAAACAGGGCACATAGCTACGCCAATCTTTTTTTTATTTAGGAATATTTTTTGATAGTACATGTATTTTACAAAGGATTAATTTGCGTTAGCCGCTATTGTTTTTGTTACCGATAAAGTTTTCTGCCCGCACCGGAAGTGTTGTAATTTGGCCAAAAACCACAATTTTGACAGTTCCACAAGAAAATATTAATTTTTACAAATCTGAGAGATCTAGATGAATGCCCCCTACTATAGGTGCAAATAATCTTGAACTGTTTTTTTTTTTTTTTAAATTTCGGTTTAAAGGTGAAACTTGCGGCTGTCAGGTAGGATACGCCCACATTTTGCAAGAGATGGATAGAGAACAAGCTAAACAAAGACAGATTGCCACTTGCCAGGCAACAAAACATACGCCCACAGCAGTTAGGACGTCCGGGCAGTCAACGAGAGTTGTCACATATTTTGTCTATTGTCGGTAATGAGACAATTATAATACACTAAAATCTGATTAAGGGTAATAACTCATTAAGTAATTATCGGAAAATCATTAGAAATTGTTTGACTTTAGTTCTGCACCATGCTAATGTTTAGTATACAAAACATTTAATATCATGGATTTAGTTGTTCAAGTCATCAAAATTCATTGATCCCTTTGAAAAATCTTGTGGATGCTCTCGAGGCTAAAGTTAATATCTGGTTGACTTTAAATTTATACACAGTGTTTAAGGTCATCAGGTTATGATTTTATATTCATACACCGCGTTTACGTTTATATATAATCGTTCCGATTGACTTTAGGTTGATACAGAGAGTTTAAGGTCTTGAGATGAACAAGTATATTGATTTTCAATGATTTTTGATAACTTGAACAGCTAAATCCATGATATTGTTTTGTATACTAAACGTTAGCATGGGCCAAAAAAAAATTCCATGATTTTCTGATAATTACTTAATGAGTTGTTACTCTTAATCAGACTTTAATGTATTATAAATGTTTCATTACCATAGAGATGTATATATAACTAGAGTGTATGGGGGTCATGTGATCGCGTGCTGGCTATGGAGCTTGGCGGCCATTTTACAACCGGAAAGATTAAGCCTATGTAGCCATATACCAACATGCCGGAGAGTTGTTGTTGTTTTGGTTAATTCAATGTCGGGCGAAAAGGGAGTGGATTATCATTTCATATTAGGTATGATAAGCTATAAGTACCAGCGGCTGCCAGGCAGGATACGCCCACATTTTTCAAGAGATGGATAGAGAACAGGCTAAACAAAAAGCAATTTTTCATAACATCAAGGGCTATATATATAATACTGGAAGGTATGATCTGAGATGCACGAATGTCGAAAGTAACAAAGATTTTTGGGTTATAAATATGCATTTCAAGTTCATCAAAATCGGATCAAAATTGTGACCTCTAGAGGGTTCACAAACTTGATATACCAGATATTTACACTATTTGCATAGACGGGCGGCCATTTTGTCTGGCAGTTTTGGTCCGATTTTCATGAAATTCGAACTCAACCAACAATACGGTGTAACAGTGACATATTCGAACGTTTTTTAAAATCAGACAATAATTGTGACCTCTTGAGGGACCACAAGCAAAAAACACGATTTTTCGTACAATCAGGAGCCATAATTCAGGAAGTTACGATCCGATATGCGCGAATATCGAAATGAACCAAGATCTTTGGGTTATAAACACGCATTTCAAGTATCATCAAAATCGGGTGAAAATTGTGACCTCTAGCGAGTCCACAACCATGATTTTCCACATTTTTACACTATTAGCGTATGAGGAGCGGTCATTTTGTCCGGTAGTTTTGGTCAGATTTTCACGAAATTGAAACTCAACCATCATTAGGGTGTAACAGTGATATATTCAAATGTTTTTTGTCCCAAGCCTTTCGAAGAAAGCAGGGGACTATTAAAATGGGTCTGTCTGTCTGTCTAATTGAACACTTTCATTATCACTAGAAAAAATGTCATTTTGGCAAAAACAGTATCTTTAGCCTCCAAAACAAATAGTGAGTTACTATTATTTTTCTTTTCAAATTAAGATATTTGATTAAAATGGAAATATAGATCATATAAATGTCAAAAGATTGTTTCTAACATCTTCTTCCCTTGTCGAGAAATAACCACTTTTTAAGATTTTCCGCATTTTAATCTGATTTTATGGGCCCGATTTGTATAAAAGAAAAGATCATATTCTCCTTCGTGCAAGTTCTCAACATTTTTATACCGATATAGTTTTCTGTTGGCACCGAAAGTGACATAATTTTGTCCAAAACTTCAATACTGACTGGGAGTTCATTTCAAAAGCAAATATTAATTTTTACAAATTTAATAAATCAAGATGAATTGTCCTACTAAAAGCGCAAAATGTGTCAGGCTTATTTTTATTTTAATTTCAGTTTTGTATTTGCGACATTTTGATTTTCATAAACTTGTAGCATTAATCCATATGAAGACAATGTATGTCCAAATTAGTTTGTAATATTAGCAGTTGCCGAGAAGTAGGCAATTTTGCACGAGTCACTTTTCGCGTTATTTTGCCTGTAAAAGAGTAAATTATTATAGGATTTTCATAAGAGTCATAACATTTGAAAGATGAATCAAATATGCGTTATATCAAATTGATTACAATTTAAAATTGACGCCGGAGGTGACACCATTTAAAATCATTAGTTTTTTCAAATGAGTATTATTGCTTCTAGTTCTAGCATCTTCCCTTGTCAAGAAATAACCAATTTTGTCAGGATTTTTTTCCGCATTTTAATTTCCCATTCGAAAGTCAGCTATCTTACAAGTAAGTTAGTAACAAACTTTGTCAGGATCATTTTTTTAACATATGGAACACATGGTAACAAATGTATAAATGTATTTAATATTGCTGGATTTCGTTGATTCTGCGTCCATTTTATAACATGTGTGTAATGTTTATGTGGATCTCTGTTTAACGGTTTCACTGGTACCGAAAGTGAAATAAGTTCAAAGGTAACGTGGCACCGGAGGTGAAACAAGTTCAAGGGTAACGTGGCACCAGTGAAACCCGTCATTACTGCATCGCAATTTCAGTTAATTACATAATTACTTATTAATTTAGTTAGCGGCAATAAGTAAACCATAAACAAAGACACATAAATATATAGCCTTTTACCAAAGTAAATATACCCAGATTTATTAAATAGTACTGCCAAAGATATATAGCTATATTTGTTATATACTCTTCAAAAAAAGTAGGGGATATTCAGAAACAATACCAAACTGTGGAAATGCACTGCTGTTTTTATTAGAGGTAACCAGTGAATGTTGATAACAGGCCAATTGCCTACACATGAACATAAACAGTTCATATGGGCGGCTTATCTGACGGCCCCATTTCACTCACAAAGAGGAACACCGTCAAAAGTGAAAATAGACATTTTTGATTTTTGTCTTTATAATGAGTAATTGCTCCACCAATCCTCAGACATTCAGCAATTCGTTGTGGCATGCTCCTAACCAACCGTCCAATCACGTTTTGGGGCAATCTCACCCACTCCTCTTGCAGTGCCACGGCCAATTCTTGCAGTGTTGTCGGTTGACGTCGATGAACAGGTCTCCCGATCAAATTAAACATAACACTCTAAAGCAAAAATACGCAAAACAGTAAATCTTATGCAAGAACCGATAGGAAAGCAAACATGGATAGATAAACCAGCACGCGGCAGTTTTCATCAACCCTTCCTTGAAGTGTCAAATTTGACAATGAACCCCTCACACGTGTATGTCAAGTGTCCATGACTATTTATCATATCACAACCTGCATAGGTATTTGCATTTCAATATCCCCTACTTTTTTTGAAGAGTATATATTACCAAACCTAATAAATCTAACACAGATATAGCTATACTTATTGAATATTACCAACCCTAATATATCTAACATAGATATAGCTATATTTATTGTATATTACCAAATCTTATATATCTAACAAAGATATCCTTTTTTTAAAATCATCATAAAACCAGTATACACTAATCTGACCAAAACCCCCCCACCAAAACATACATACAATTTTTCTACTACTATGAAATGAATCCAAGAGTATTATTTTAAATAGAAAACAGATATTTTAAATAGAAAACAGATATTTTAAATAGAAAACAGATATTTTAAATAGAAAACATATTTTCCTATAACAAATGCTTAACTTAAAGGAAATTTCACAGCCTCTTTCTTGAATTACAATTTTTATTATAACAATTCTTTATTTGGAACACTCTGTAACGAATAAATCTTTGGCAACTATTTTATGGAATTTTTTCCTTTCAAGTAGGAAATATTACTGATAACATTTAACAAAGATAGGTTGCCAGGCAACGAAACATACGCTCACAGCGGCTAAATCGTCCGAGTGGTCGACGCATATTTATTCCTTTGTAGGTTTTTGGGGACCTTTCCACGACAGTTCCATACAGGCCAGATTATAATTTTTGCCGTTTGAGGGTTCACAAGGTTCTACAAATTGAAACAAGAGTCTCAACTCTGGAAGTAATCTACAGAAATTGTTGAAATTTGACAGGCTTTTTCGTTTCACAAATTTAAATGATGCATATAAATTTCATACATATCAGATGATAACTTTTATCAATCGAGCATTAACAAGGTTGAACAAAGTGGAACAAGGGCAATAACTCTAGAAGTAATAAACGGAAATTGCTGAAATTCAATAGAATTCTTCTCTTTACTAATTTAAATGATGCATGTAAATTTCATACAGATCGGCAGATAACTTTTGATGTTGGAGCATTCACAAAGTTCAATAAAGTGAAACAAGGGCCATAACTCTAGACGTAATAAACAGAAATTGCTGAAATTCAATAGGCATCTTCGTGTCCCTAATTTAAATATTGCATATAAATTTCACAACAAGGTTCAACAAAGTGAAACAAGGGCCATAACTCTAGACGTTATAAACGGAAATTATTGAAATTATATAGGCTTCTTCATCTCACTAATGTAAACAACATATATCAATTTTAAAACAATTGGATGATAACTTTTGGCGTTAGAGCGTTCACAAGAAATTGTGGACGATGGACGGACAGACCGATGGACAGACAGACGGGGGCGACGGCAATATACGTCCAACGTTCCTATGTGGGCGTATAAAAAGCGAACAGAAAACTAGACTGGAAATACACATATTATTTCTTCACACAATCGTTGATGGAAAGAGATACATGTATATGTTGTCCATGTGAAAAGTAGATTTCATATAATATAGCATAATCGTTAATTCAGGTGTCTAACCCTGACACAGAGGTCATTATGACTTCTTGCTGATAAGTAGTATTTGAGACACCATTTAAGTAAATATTTGACATTTGTTTTCACATGAGAAAAATTATGAATACGGACATTTCTCTAGAATGCTGTACATGACTGTATAAATCAAACACGGACTTTGTCACATAAAAACTAGTATCATATATATTCAGATATTTAGCAACAAAATTTGAACACAACTAAAGCTATAGTGTGATCAAAAACAATACTGAAGACAATGAATAAACCAGCGGCTGTCAGGCAGGATACGACCACATTTTCGAGAGATGGATAGAGAACAAGCTAAAAAGAAAGTGATTTTTCCTGCAATCAAGGGCCATAATTCAGGAAATTACAATTTGATATGCGCGAATATTGAAAGGAACCGAGATCTGTTGGTTATAAACTTACATTTCAAGTTTCAACAAAATCGGATAAAAATTGTGACCTCTATAGGGTCCACAACTTAGATATACCATAACGGCGGCCATTTTGTCTGTCAATTTTAGGCTGATTTTCACGAAATTCGAACTCAGTCGTCCTTAGGGTGTAAAGGTGATATAGTAATACGTTTTTTTATATCGGATAAAAATTATGACCTCTATAAGATCCACAAGCTAAAAACGTGATTTTTCACGTACAATCAGGGGCCATAATTCTGGAAGTTACATTCCGATATGTTCGAATAACGTAAGGAACGGAGATCTTTGGGTTATAAACTTACATTTCAAGTTTCAACAAAATCAGATAAAAATTGTGACCTCTATAGGGTTAACAACCTTGATATACCATATTTTTACGCTATTTGAGAACGAACGGCGGCCATTTTGTCTGTCAGTTTTGGGCCGATTTTCACGAAATTCAAACTCAGCCGTCCTTTGGGTTTAACAGTGATATAATAATACGTTTTTTTAAATCGGATAAAAATTATGACCTCTATAAGGTCCACAAGGTAAAAACGCGATTTTTCGTACAATCAGGGGCCATAATCCAGGAAGTTACATTTCGATATGTGCGAATATCGCAAGGAACGGAGATCTTTGGGTTATAAACTTACATTTCAAGGTTCAACAAAATCGGATAAAAATTGTGACCTCTATAGGGTCCACAACCTTGATATACCATATTTTTACGCTATTTGAGCACGAACGGCGGCCATTTTGTCTGTCAGTTTTAGGCCGATTTTCATGAAATTCGAACTCAGCCGTTCTTAGGGTGTAACGGTGATATAATAATACTTTTTTTTAAATCGGATAAAAATTATGACCTCCATAGGGTCCACAAGCTAAAAACGTGATTTTTCGTACAATCAGGGGCCATAATTCAAGAAGTGACGTTTCGATATGCGCGAATATTGAAAGGAACCGAGATCTTTGGGTTATAAGCATACGTTTCAAGTTTAAACCAAATCGGATAAAAATTGTGACCTCTACAGTGTTCACAAGCTAAAAACGTGATTTTTCGTACAATCAGGGGCCATAATCCATGAAGTTACAGTCCGATATATGCCAATATCGAAAGGAAACGAGATCTTAGGGGGATAAACCTATATTTCAAGTTTCATTGAAATCGGATAAAAATTGTGACCTGTAGACCTGTTCACAAACAATTGTGGACGGACGGACGGACAGACAGGGGCGACGACAATATACGTCCACATGAAAATGTGGGCGTATAACAATGTCATATCAATCTTCAGTCATCAACCAAAACAAAATCTCACAGCACTTTCTTAATAAAATTCTATCAAAGGTAAATAATACTATAACAATAAAAACAATATAGCCATTTTTTTAAAGTCTGTCTTACAACCAGGCTGTATTTTGTATAGCTGATATACCTTCTTGTTTAAGTCGAGATAAGATCGGATTATACAGGTCTAGAGTAAATGGACCTAAGACACCTGTAGTTTGAATTTCACCTGAAAAACACATAAAATCTAATAACTGTACCATATGTAACACATTCAGTTTCTTATACATCAGGCCCGTAACTAAGGGGGGGGGGGTGGCACACCAGTGTCGAGATCATATATATATTTTCACTTGGCACACCTTGGCAGACACCGTTACTATACATCTAGATGGGCACAGCTCACCAAATATTTCTACGCCATCACCCACGAATGTAGGGCGAAAGTTATTTTTAGTCTTTCTCTCCCTTTCCCTTCCCCCCCGTCCCTTTTGCATGGCGATTTTTGTTGACTTTTGTGTAGAATTGAAGAAAAGGGTTTGAAAATACATTTTCTGCCAGGTTTTGGTGAATATTCATGATTTTGAGGCGGAAGGATACAAGAGTTGAGAGGTTGAAATGTAGAGCCGAAAATTGCATGTTAACTTGTCTCTACTTCCAGCTTGTGTGTCTCAAGTTTTTCATGGTGAACCTCATACATGCTTTTGGGCAAGAGCTTGCCACATGTTGCTCCATCTGTGGCAGAAAGCATTCTACCCAACGAAAATTTGGGAAAAAGTTACAGCCGGGTTAAGAGACGAGAATTAACATTAAAGTCAATGGGGAAATCATTAGTGATCTGTGGCCTGTCTGTGTATGACAAGACTGACTGATATACCTTAGTTTTTTGAAAATAAGAAGATTAAATTCTCAGAAAATATGTATAAAATATTTTGACTACAGAAAAACTTTAAAAAAAGTTAAATTTAAAAAAAAAAAAAAAATCAAAATTTGAGAAAAATTGTGATTTTACTGCAAATTTCTCAATTTTCAGTTTTTATTTAATTTCTAACAGTAAGAAAATATTTAATGCCCTATTTTGGCTTATTCAACCTCAGAAAGCAAAGATAAAGTGAACAGTATTATAATTTCACCAAATTTTGTCTAAAAATCAGGAATATTGACAGAAAATCTCCAGATTCTCCTATTTCGATGTAGAAATTAATCCTTTCATGTCTACTCAAATAAGTCAAAATGTCTAAAAATGCCCTTATATTAGCAATGAAAATAACTTGGATGGGATCTATAAGTTTGTCAAGTTTAGAAATAGCTCCAGCTTTCCTACAGAAAATTTAAAATTGGTAACACTGAGTTCATAATGTACAGCAGATGGGTTTGTACAAAATGTTCAAAACAGGGGTTGGCTCAATTTTGCCATTACTTTACCCAGAATAATAATTTTTTTCTTCTTTTAAACATTAAATTCTTGCATCTCCTTCATGTAGAAAGTTCCAGTCTTTCTAGACATTATTCATTCCATTAAAGAGAGGCTGTAAATCCCCCACCCCACCCATTTTTATTAATTTGTTTTGAGTGATTTAATTGCACCTGTGTTGACAATTAAATGATAGTAATTGGGATTTGTGGTTATTTTTCAAAAATAAATAGTTATTTTGTACATTTCAAGGATTTCTAAAATTTTTTGTTTAAAGTCAAACTTAGAACCTTGAGACATGTCAGGCCAATGAGGCCACACCCTGATACGAAACTGGTGTAGATGTGTAAATGTCAGCTTAATGTTCAATATTTTCTTATCAAAATCTAGGATTTGTGGTGTTTGTTGCATTAATGTTACTTATAGAACAGTAAAATGTTAATTTTGCTCCTTTTCAGGCCTCCTGTATGTTGTCAAATCTGTCATATAACTACTTTTTTTACTTCATTTTTTCAGGAAATTGATGTAAAGGTCCAGACATCTTGCTTCAGCACAAGAATTGAAATAAAGATTTGCATGATGCCTCTGAGCTTTGAGATGTTGAAAACATTGAAATATTTCCAAATTTGTGAAAATTGTGTATTCTGTAACCCTTCTGTTAGAGAGGGGTGGTCATAGACTAAATATGGCATTTTTTCCTTTCATCAAGGCCTATTTTTAACCATAATTCATATTTATTGCACATATTTTAGTTTATATGTACATTATTATTATTATTATTATTATTAAGAACATTTATATAGCGCACAATTCACATAGTGCTCAAATGCGCTTTACAAAGTAAGTAGTGAAACCAATATAAAACAAACAAAGTACAATACACTAATTCAGAAATAAAATAAACTCAGGCAATGTGTACAATGCCTTTGTTACCCTAACCCTAACCCCAACCCTTACCCGGCAATGTAGACATTGACTGGTATATTTCAGGCATTGTACACATTGCCTGATTGTAGACATTGACTGTCACATACATAAAACTGTAAATAATGTAATATAAGAACGCTATTGATAACAAAATAAGAGTATTTAAAAATCACGATCTGGATTAAAATTCTTCAAAAAATACTTTAGTTATAAATTAAAAGCTTCTTTAAATAAATGAGTTTTAATATTTTTCTTAAAAATTGTAATTGTTGTAGAATTTCTGATGTTAAAAGGTAACGAATTCCAAACTTTTGGTGCATGAATACTGAATGCTCTATCACCTATTGTTTTTAATCTTGATCACCGTTGACATAACAGTAAACAATCAGATGAGGTCCTCAAAGTTCTAGAGGGTGTGTAAATTTGAATTAAATCACGTAAGTATGAAGGCTCAGAACCATTGAGGCATTTAAAAACTAAAAGAAGCAATTTATGTGCGATTCTAAAACGAATGGGTAGCCAATGTAACTTAATTAATATAGGGGTAATATGATCGGTATGCTTAGATTTAGTGATAAGCCTGGCAGCTGAGTTCTGAACCATTTGAAGTTTGTGAATTAAATTATCAGGGATACCAGCTAAGACAGAGTTACAGCTGTCCAGTCTAGAAGTTACAAGTGAATTTACAATGGTTTTTATAACATCAGAGGCTAAATTTGTACGAATTTTACTTATGTTTCTGAGATGAAAATAACATACTTTACAAATATTATTGATTTGATTGCTCATGGCCATAAAACTGTCAAAAAATACACCAATGTTTCTGGTTGACTCAACAGGTTTGATAATGTGAGACCCTATTAATATGTTAACATCACTTTTCAATTTCAACACAGACGATTTGGATTCAAAAAGGATGTACTCCGTTTTATCGTCGTTTAATTTTAAAAAGTTAACCGACATCCAGGATTTAATTTCTGATATACACATTTCTATTTGTTGCTTTGGATAATTAGACGAAGCAGGATTAAAAGCGATATAGAGTTGGGTATCGTCCGCGTAAAAGTGAAAGTCTACACCATATTTTTTAGCAATGTCTCCGAGGGGGGTTGTATAAACTGTAAAAAGAATCGGCCCTAAAATTAACCCTGTGGCACTCCATAATGAAGGTCCTTGTGCTCAGAGAGTTTGTTGTTTATCAACACTGCCCGACTTCTTAAATGAAGATAAGACCGAAAAAGTGCCAGAGAAGAGCCAGACACTCCAAATTCAGAATATAGCCTAGACAGTAACATTTCATGGTCCACTGTATCAAATGCGGCGGACAAATCTAACAGTACCAGCATCACGCATTTGTTGTTGTCCATGGACATCAAGATATCATTTTGAACTTTTAGGAGAGCAGTCTCGGTTGAGTGAAATCTTCTATATGCACTTTGGTACTTATCTAACAAATTATTTTGACACAAATGAGATTTAAACTGATCGGCAATACACTTTTCAAGGATCTTCGAAAGAAAACTTAAATTTGATACAGGTCTGTAATTTTTGTCAATATTTGGATCGAGTGACGTCTTCTTTATAAGGGGCGTCAACGTAAGCTATTTTTATTATTATTATTATTATTATTATTCATCTTCTATAGCGTTTCATTATATCCGGTGATATTCTAAGCGCTTAACAAATGTCACATCACAGTTTGTAATAATATTTAAACAAGTGTGTTTTTAATTCTCATTTAAATTTAACAAAAGTTGAACTTGCTCTAATTGATCTTGGTAGCTTATTCCACATATGGGCACCATTTATAGGGAAAGATAGTTTTCCTCTGAGTCTCTTGTAAGCAGGCACAGATAGTAAAGTAGTATCTGTGGACGAAAGAAGATTCGGTCTTTCCTGTTTGTAGAATGTGAATAGTTGTCTCATGTAGGAGGTGTTGTGTGGATTGGTTTCAAAAGACAACAAACAATCAATCGGCCATTTGCATCCAGCGTGTATTCTCCAATGATCACATGATACAAACACAAGGAATTCCCTAAAGGATTTCCCTTACGTCATCATCACTATTTAATACCATTCATAGGTTGTGGAAATATACTGAGTTGAAGAGAAGTGTTCACAATATCTAATATGGTAGGGAGGAAAAGGGGTAGGTTCTGTTTGATGAGCCAGGTAGGTGCTGGATCCAAAGAACAAGATGTGGATTTCATGGAGTTGATTATGTTACATAGTTCTTTTTCACTTAGACCACTAAATTTATCAAGAGAGCTAATGTCATTTGTTTTAATCACCTTTTCAATAACCACTGGAGTTAAATTAGCTAGATCATTACGTATTTTAGATATTTTTTCAGAAAAGAAATCAGCAAATTTGTTTGGAAGATCGGCACAGTTTTCCGTGGGGAGTGTAGTTTTGCCGTAGTTCGGATCTAACAAAGTATTAACACTTTGTCTGTTGATTTGTACAGTTAGATATCTTTTCGGAATAAAAGGCGCGTTTCGAGAATTCAATAGTTGATTTTACATTTAATTGAGCAGAATTATAAATGTTCTTGTGGACTTGTAACCCAGTAAGGCGCCATGTTTTTTTGCTGGAATTTCGGACCTTTTTGGCTGCATCAACGTCGGGGTTATACCATTCCGATCCAGGTCGCAACACTACAGATTTCTTCTGGAGCGGGAGGACACTCTCAATAACACACTTAATTGAACTATTATAAATATCTACCTTCGTGTTGACATCAGCATTATCAAGAGAGTTTCTGAAAGGCAATTCTTCTAGCTTTCACTTACTCAGTTCAATATCTAATGTTTTAAACTTACGATATTCAAATGTTTTCTTCTTTAAACTGGGCTTTTCAATGTTCAAGTTAAAACTGATAAGAAAGT